ACAGAGGAGAAAAGGGGGGCATTAACTTGGCCCAAGTCACTCCGTAAGTTGGTGACAGAGCTGGGGCTAGACACCAGTTTTCCGACTTCCAGAGCCAGGCTCTCGGACCCGCCACGTTGTGCTATCTCCTCGTTTCCGGAGAGCTGGGAACGATGTCGTCTTTGAACTCCAGCCGCCACCATTGCTCTGGGTACAGGTTACCCCTGGTCACGCACCCACCCCTGTGCTCCCTGAAGACCTGGGGCACGTCCCCAAGCCAGCTGCGCGCGTGCACGAGTGTGCCGGGCGGGACGCGCGCCCCGGGAGCGCGCTGGGGGCTGCCTCGCTCCCTCACTCGCGGGTAAACTCCGGGCATCCATCAGTCTGTTAATTGCACTAATTAGAGATCGCGGAGGTGTTAATTGGAAAACCCTGGTATTGTGCCTGTTTGGGGAAGAAAACGTCAATAAAAATTAATTGATGAGTTGGCAGTGCTGGCGGCGCGGGTTCGCGGCGAGGCGCAGGGTGTCGTGGCAAATGTTACGGCTCAGATTAAGCGATTGTTAATTAAAAAGCTACGGTAATTAATACTCGCTACGCCATATGGGCCCGCGAAAAGGCACAAAAGGTTTCTCCGCGTGTGGGGCGCCCTGTCTCCCCCTCCCCCCAAGGCACCCCAGCCCTTGGGTTCCCCCCAACCTGTGGCCCCAAGGTAGGGGCAACTCTTCACTTCCGGCCCGGGAGCGGACCTGGCAGGCCGTGGGAGTTTCCAAGGGCGTCCCTCATTGCGCGCAGGCGCCCTGGTTCTTCGAAGAGCCCAGAGACTCAGGGGAGGTGTGAGACCCCAGCGCCCCCTGGCTCCCCCAGAGCGGAAGAGGCGGCCTCCGCTTTGCCCTGGCTTTCTCCTGAGATCCTCCGGGCCTGGTCAACACTCTTGTCCCCCCCATGGGGACAAGAATGGGAGATTAGGACCTGCCTAAGTTCAGGACCCAAACCCCAGACAGAAATCCTGGACCACCCAAAATAATTCAGCCTCCACTGCACCTCAACATGTGGTAGGAGAGGGGTCTGGGAAGTCTGGGGTCGGGGGTGAGAAGCCCAGTTTTAGAGAACCCTAGAAAGACCTCTGACCCTGCCCCTCCTTGTACGGAGGGAGAAGAGCAGCCCAGCGACTTGGATGTGGGGCAGTGTCTTGACCAAGGCCACACAGCTGGGCCTTGAAACCAGGTGGTCTCATTCTCAGAGCTTCTGCCCTTCACTGATGCAGGTGCTCAGCTGCCCCTTGCTGAGGAACTAGGTGATGGGGAGGAGCATGGGTTGAGAAGGGAGGGGTGTTTGGAGAAGGCACAGGGAAGGAAGTGAAGGGAGGAGGGGGTCTTGCAGGGTGCACCCTAAATACGGAGCAAGCAGCTCAGGTCTACACTGGGTGGAGGTCTTTGTGGAAGGGACCACAGCTGTGACACTAATGTACTTTCAGTGGCTCCCAACAGCCACTGCAATACTATGGCTCCATGTCCACTTGCTGGACTAGGGAGTTTTGCTCCTGGAGCTCCAAGTCAGAAGAGACCTTCAAGACCATCCCCCCATGTAGAGATGGGGAAATAGAGGCCCTGAGAAGGAAGGCAAAGGATTTGCAGCTAGTCTGTGGTGGAGCCCAGGCCCCTGCCTTCTCTCCGAGCCAGGGTTCAGGCTCCCATGGACACTGCTTCCTCCCCCACACCTTTGTATTTACAGGGCACTGATATCAAGGCCTGCCCCCAGCACCCCACCCTGTCCTGTCCCTAGCGGGCTGGGCCCCAGGCACCCAGAGCCTGCTCACCCACAGTGCAGGGAATACCCCGGTGCAGTTGCGACACCTTATGTTTCCATATAAGTGGCTGTTTCCAGTGAGTGGCTGCTGGTATGCTCATCCTAGGAGGGCAGGTGTCCCAGGGCAGAGGTGAGAACTCAGAGAGGGCTTGGGAGTGCATGTCCCGCAGGTTTGGGGGTGTGTTAGTGAGCATGGAAGGAGGTGTATGGGTGTATGTCATCAGCAAAGGCCGGGGAGGGGGCAGAGTATGCCACATGGGAATTAATGCCATTCATACACCCTGCGGAAATGACTTTTCAAATGCATATAATCTCAAGCATGCAAATGAGAGGCTTGCTTCACCCTGTTTAATATGAATGATCGGCCCTTGAATAGCTATTATTACACACCACATTGCAGCAATTATGTTGTTCACTGGGTATTGCTTTGTACACCCCCTCCCAAAATTAAAAAGACAGGAAAGAAAGGGACACCTCTGTCTGCATACTCTTCCTTCTTTTTTTCTCTTTTTCCAAACTTGCTGTCTGATCTACAACTTTATGGTATTCCTGTGTGTTGGAAGGGAGGCACCCTCCCTTACCCCAGGAAGTAACTGCCAGATTCTCTTTCCTTTCTCCTGTGAGTGCATACACCCCAGAGGCTCTGGTCTTTGTCCCCTGGGGCCCAGGGGTTCTCAGATCTCAGAGGAGCTAGACTTGGAATCAGGGCAGGCAGCTGCTCTCTACCCCCAGCAGGGCCAGGGTTGGGGGAGAGGGAGAGCAGAGCAGGCCTGCTGTCTCTGCACCCCCTCATGTAGCTGCGACCCAGGCCTGCCCATCCCCCCCAAGTGGGGGAAGGTGCTTCTGTTGGCTACTGGGTGGGTGGTTTCAGGGGAGGGGCTAGAGCCCTGTGCTCTGGCCTCGGCCTTGGTGCCCACCCCATTCATCATTTCGAAGCCACTCGCCCTCAGGCTGACACGGCCATTAAGTCCTGAGACGTAGTGCTCAATCTCTTCCGAACCATCACTCCCATTCTGCGTGCACCCAGGCCCTGATCCTCTCAGAACCCAGGGGTGGAGAGGCAGCTGAGGGAGTGGGGGCAGAGCAAGCCCTTGGGAACACACGGGGGAGCTCACAAACACGAGCACCCAGGAGGCCACAGACTCACTGGGGCAGGAATACCCCAGTCCCCTGGAGCAGTGATGTGTTCCACATGAACCCTCAGCAGCTCTTTCATATCCTCACACTTGTCCCCTCTGTGTCCCAGCAGGAATAAAAGCTGAGCAAACGGCCCAGTGGAGTGAGGGAAAAGAGCTCTTGGGGAGTGAAAAGAGAGAATTTGAGAGTTGGAGGGAGATGCTTTTGGGAGCCGCTGCCTTGGGGAGAGAACCAGGGAAATAACAATCTGGTCTCTTCCTGCAGGTCTACAATCTGCCACCTGCCAGGCCCTTGTCCACCAATTAGGTCAGGGCAGCCATGCGGTTGTAGGGTCTGCCTTGGCCAAAGGGGATCAAACAGGGAGGAGGCAACACTGGCTGGCTTCCCTGGGTCTTGCTGGACGCTCCTTTGGCCCTACCTCTTGGTGACCTCTTGAGTGACCTGGGCCAACTCCTTGACCTCTCTGAGCCTTAGGGGCTTCACCCTTACAATTAGGATGGGTGGAGAAGGAGCTTATGAGTACAGGGGGCTTGCTCTGCCAGGTGCCTTGTACATGCTTTCTGTTTACTCCTCAAAGGACTCTAGAGGCTGGCATTAAATATAGTTGGCCCTCCATATCCTCAGATTCGCTATCCATTGATTCAACCAACCACAGCCTAAACGTACTGTGCAGTATTTGGGGGATGCTGAACCCACAGGTACAGGGGCCGTTTTCTGTGTCCACGGGTTCTGCAGGGCCAGTTTTGAGGCTTGAGCATTCTTGGATTATGGTTTCCAAGGGGGTCCTGGAACCCCTTCTCTGGGGATACGGAGGGACATTTCACTGCCACAGACAAGGAAACTGAGGTTTAGGGACTTTAAGATGTGTCGAAAGTCAATGGTGGATTCCAGCCACGGCTTGTTTGACAGAAATCCATGTTCCTCTCTAGTGACTATAGCTCTGGGGGTAGTTGGGGACCCCCCCCCCAAGGATTCGAGGACAACTTTGCATAAAGAACCCTCGTCACCATCATGGAACCTTTGTGAGCTGGGTGCAGCAGCCCCGGCCACCTCCTTCTCCTCTCTATTGCCCTCCAATGTCCCAGACACACCCTGTTTTGCTGGGGATGTTCCAGCCATTCCTTGGGAGGTATTTCCAGGGTGGGGTGAATTCAGACCCTGACCCTCTGCCTTGGGTGAGTAACCCAACTCTCTGGACCCTCAGTTTTTCCGTCTGTAAAATGGGCGTGACAGCTGTTTCCCACAGTGCCCGTGTGGAGGACTCGTGGTGCCTGTAGAGAGGAAGTGGACAGTATTGAGGGTTTGCTTTTGGCCAGGCACTGACCGGGCGGAGGGCTTTAAAACAGAAGATGGAAAGTGGGACCAGGGCATCCTTCACTGTACGCCTCCCGCCCAGCTGAGTGTCTGGCTCCCAGTAGGTGCTGGGCCAGTGGCCGCCATTAAAATTGTAGGGCAAACATTGATTAGGGCCTTTTGTGGCCTGGGGAAGGAGGCCCTGCCCTGGGGAACAAACACAAAACCCATTACAGGAGGAGAGGAGGGGCGGCAATATGGTGGGTCCCTAGTGAATAACTCTTCTGCCTTTGCCACGTTGGCACGGGGACCCCCCCCCCAGCTGATCCTCCCTCCCACTTCCCTTAGCATCCTGGCCAGAAGGCAGAGTCCAGAACAGGTTTAGGGCCCTGATGGGCAGTGCAGGGCTTCCTCCCGTCCCCATCCCAGCCCAGGTCTCCTGGAAGTGGAGGGAGTGTGGGGAGGAGCATGGGAGGCCCGAGCTGCAGTCTGGAGCTGCTGCCTTCCCAGCCTGGGAGGGGTGACACTGGGAGGGGCACACCCCGTGAGGGGTCCCAGAGAGCAGCGTGTGGAAAGTTGAGGCGGAGACGAGACAGGACTGCGGATGGGGGCGAGGGAAGCAGGGTATCCAGCGATGGGGGGGACGATGCCCCAGGGCTGGGGACGGGCGGAGGTGAGGGAAGTCAGGTGTCCGGTGCTGACTGTAATGTTGGGGGGCTTTGGTTGCCGCCCGTCCAGCCTCGAGCCTTGGCTCCTGCCCCGTGTCTTTCCTCCCCCTCCAGGTCCCGCTGGAGCGACATGATGGTGGAGTCCGCCTCGGAGACGATCAGGTCGGCTCCGTCGGGTCAGAATGGCGTGGGCAGCCTCTCCGGGCAAGCTGATGGCGGCAGCGGTGGGGCCACGGGCACGGCCGCGGGCTGCTCGGGCAGGGACGTAGCCACTGGTGCGGACAGCAACGGCGAGATGAGCCCTGCGGAGCTGCTGCACTTCCAGCAGCAACAGGTAGGAGCTGGCGCCCAGGAGGGCGTCTGGGGAGGGGAGCAGGGACACCGGGCCTCATCCCACTCCGTCCTACCACGTGGGCACCACTGCTCCATTCTTAAGGCTGCCCAGCCTCCAAGCACTCCCTGTGCACCCTCCCACTTTGGTGGCCACTTTGAGCCTGGGGTAACAGCCTTTTCGAGAGAGAGAAGTGGAACTGGGGTGGGGGTGGGCTCAGATCATGGAGCTTGGGACGGTCCCAGAAATGCCATAAGAAGAGACAGATGCCCAGGCAGCAGGCTTGAGAGTCTGCGTGTTGAATGGGCGGGCACCTCTGATCTCCGCCTGCACACTGGCAAGGAGACCGGCTAAATTAAGAGGGCTGAGAGGGTGCTGGGCACACAGGGGTGTCTTCACTTCATTTGTATTGTAAAACATTCCCACCTCCACGCCTGCCTGGGCGCCAGATCCCAGCTGTGAAGAGATTAAGCTTCCGTGCACCAGGGGCTGAGGCAGTTGGGAGAAGGCCAAGGGAGGCAGGCAAAGGCAGGCCTCCATTCCTAGGGCTCGCACTAGGACTCCTGGCTGTGTCCCCTACCCTCTCCCACCCATCATCCCCACCCTGAAGTGCAGCGTTCAGGAGTTCAAGACCAGCCTCTCTGAGGATCTAGAGGCATGAGGGTAGGGAGCCTGGTTAGGTGATGACAGAGCAGGGGCCCAGGTCCTGGCCCCACCCAGGGCAGAAGGGAGAATCATGCTTGACAAGTTCCGGAGAACCGGCCCAGCCAGCCCTGGCTTTGGGATTTTCTCTCTTATTTGACTCTGCTCCTGGAATCGATGCTGGTGGCGCTGGCCCTCGGGGGCTCTGCTGGGAACATGGAAAAGCTGGGTCCTGCATGTACATCCTTGCCCAGGACCCCGCCCCTGCCTCGCGTGCACAGATGGCTGCACCTGCTGTGCCCTCCTCCCTGCCAATGCACTGCCGCCTCCGGGGTTCACCCCCACCCCCACTCCATAACCCCTGAGGGCCCTTTCCCACCACACCCCTGGAGGCAGAGGTCAGACTGGAAGCAGCACCATCAGAAGCCCTTCACAGAGCTGGCTGGCGAGAACTAAACAGGAATTGAAGAAAGCCGATTTAAGTCCCAGCCAGCCCCTTACCAGCAGTGTGACCTTAGCCAAGCCAGGGGCCTCTATAAGCCCTGGCCTCCCTGGTGCCTAAAGCGTTAGGATCAGGTGCAGTTTGGATGTGCAGCCCCTCTACACGCTTGTCGATGTGGATGTGAACAGAACGGGGGACTTTAAGATCACTTCCTCTTGCTGCCCATGGAGACAGGGGCAGGAAGGGCCTGTCTCCTTCCCCCAGGAAGATGGCCTTCGGGAGTTGGCTGCCATCTCCCAAGCCTTCCCAAGCAGGTCCTCTGGGGGAGCGACCCACAGAGTCTGTGCCCGCTGCTGGAGACAGAAGGTCAAAGGGGAAAATCCTACCCTTTATCAAAATAACAGCAAAACACACCCCGTCCAGAAGTCCCCAAGGCCACCCATTTTGTATGGCCAGCTCTTCCCCTCCTGTGCCTCTGTGCAGACAGAGCTATGAAAAACTTAGACTGTGGCAGAGGAGGCGAGTAGCAAAAGTAGAAAGTTTCTTTTAAAAAATTACTTAAAGGGTGAACACAGATCTCTGGATAACTGGGGAGATGTGTGGGGTGGGGAGAGACAGAACTGTCTGTACTGATCAGGTTTCTCAGTTCTGCATTGCACATGAGCCATGTTTTCCCATCCATATTCCACGTTCCAGTTATTCCTGTTTGTTTTGGGGAGTATCCCAAAGTCCTGGAAAATCCTATATCTGTTTCACAAATAAACTGGGGTGGGGATTTGGAGGCAGGCAGAGGGCTGTTTTATCCATCTGGGCTCACTACGGGCGTAGTGCCCAGGGCCAAGGAACATATTTGAGACTTTAAAAAAGGTTTTGTTGGCTCCAAACTATGAGAAGAACCTTGCAAAATTAAAATTAAAGATTTTCGATTAAAATGAAACGGTCTGTGGGCCATCCCTCCACCCCCAGTATATGACTGAGGCTTTGCGGGGGACTTCAAGGGGAGCATTTTCTGGTACCCAACAACTAATGCTCCTACTTGTGGGGTAAACAAGTATGGGAAAGAGAGCCTGGCCCCTTGGGTTCCTCCTCCCTCTCAATCCCAACCAGGAAGCCCTTAGAGGACAAACAGACGCCTTCCGTCTGTTTGGTGCTTTCGGTCTTTCTTGTACACTGTGTCGTTCACTCACCTCACCATCCCTGGGAGGTCAGTGCTATTATTCCCGTTTCACAGAGAAGGTAGCCCAAAGTAGGCTCTGACTTGTCAAAACAACACAACAAAAGGCTGCAGTGTGGCCAGGTGTCATGGCTAAAGCCTATAATCCCAGCACTCTGGGAGGCCAAGGGGGGAGGATCGCTTGAGGCCAGGAGTTGGAGACCAGCCTGAGCAAGAGCAAGACCCCATCTCTACAAAAAATAGAAAAATTAGCCAGGCATGATGGTGCGTGCCTGTAGTCCCAGCTACTCAGGAGGCTGAGGCAGGAGGAACGCTTGACCCAGGAGTTTAAGGTTACAGTGAGCTATGATGATGCCACTGCACTCTACCCAGGTGACAGAGCAAGTCTCTGTCTCCAAAAACAAAACAAAACAAAAAAAAACATGCTGCAGCAAGACCCCAGTCCCTAGTTCAGGGCTCAGTACACCCTCCTTTTTCCTCCTACACCACTTAGGAAGTTCTTGTGGGAAATGGAGAAGGGAGGGAGCAAGGCCTTGAACATAGTAGGTGCTAAATAAATGTCTGTGGATGACCTTAAAATGATGAAAGAGCAACACTGCCCACTGGCCCTGAGTAGCTGTAGGAAGGGAGTTGGGAGAGGGTCTGTGGGCCATGCAGATCCCGTCCTTGTGCCCTCCTTGGTCTCCAAGCCCCTTCCCCTTTGTCCCTCTCTCTCTTGGTCCCTGTCCCTCTGCTCTGGGTAAACAAGCCCTGGAAATGCAATCCTCGCCTTTGGGAGTAATGAGTTGACAGAGGAGAGAGATAAACAGGGCGAGTCAGAAGTCAAGTCTGTGATAGGACTTGAGGCCGAAACAAACAGTGCTGAAGAGGGCGGCGGCGTCACTTTGGAACAAGAGCAGGAGCCTGTTTCCATGCAACGAGCAGGCTGGGAGCTTGTTTAAACAGAGGCTGGGGGGTGGCCTGGTGTGGCTGCAGGGCCAGGGCTGACTGGAGAGAGGGGTCCTGGGCTGGCGGCCCCACGTCAGCGTCAAGGCCCCCGTTCCTCCCAGCCACCTCCTTGGTGGGTGATGGAGCCACGCCACCTCCTGCCCCTCGTGGAGAATCTGCCCTGGGGAGGGTGCTGGGCCTAGGGGCATGCAGTCATTCAGCAAATAGAGCCTCCTTCTGCACCAGGCGGGGTGCTGGCCAGCCGCTGCTAAAGAATACTCTAGACTGTAGATGACCCGCTGCCCACTAGTCCCCCTCCGTCCCCAAGGGGAGTGCTTCTGTCACACTGCCCCAGTCCTACATTTTGCCCTATATGATGGCTTTCTGTTTGAAGGTTGCTCTTGCGTTTTATCCTAATCAGACTTCACTGTATGAAAATGTTCCCAGTGTGTGGGGGTTTCCCCCCGGGACCCCACACATACGCTTTGGGCTCTGTGATGGGGGCAGTGAGGCCTGGGAGAAGTGTGCCCCAAATCTGGGGAGGGGAAGTCTTGGGGACTGGTCTGGGCCCACTGGCCAGAAGGAGCTGGACTCGGGGCCAGGCGGGCTGAGTGGCTGGGGCGGGGCAGGCGGAGCTGCTGAGGCTGCTGAAAGGCGTCCTGGGCCTCTGGTGCGCGCACTCCTATTGTCCATGGGTTGCAGGGGTGACAGGTCAGCGAGGGTCACAGGAGGGTTGCCTAGCGTCTGGGAACTCCCACCATAGTTGCCGTGGCAACGGGGCCAAATCCCACCCCGTTCACATCCTGTGAGGAGATTCAAAAGGGTTGGGGGGCTCTGCACATTAGTGGGCTTTTAAATCGCCCCCCTTCAAAGAGATGGGGGGTGTCACGGACTGGGGGGAGGGGAGAAGAAGAATGGAAGAGACTTTTCTTTCCCTTTCCTCCCCCATCTGGCCCTGCTCTGCCCAAGCTACTTAGAGGGACAGTGGGGGGAAGGGGAGGATTCAGGGGTGAATTAGCCCCTGTCTCCGCACCCCCGACACACACACACACACACACACACACACACACGCTGTCAACAGTTGTCTTCAGTCTTCAGGACTCCCACTCTCGTGCCCCAGAGTGTACAGCTGGTGTCAGGGCCCACACCTTCTGGATTCTCCTTTTCCTCCTGGAGAATGAGCCCCTCCCCTGGAGAGGCCGGGGTGTGGCAGGAGACGGAGACTCGGGGCCTGTGCTCCCCAGAGAGAGGCCGGGAGACTGCACACCAGTTCGTGCCACTGCCGGGAACGCGCAGAATGCTCTTCCCTCCTCGGCCTGGACGTAAGGAGAGGAGGCAGGGCCGGGGAGAGGGCCGTAACCATAGGCCTTCTTGTGTGCCTCCTGGGTCACCGTAAGCCAAAGGCCACCCTGCATTGTGTCTCAGTAGTTTCCCATAGGACAGAGTTGTACTATGAGGGTAGAGGAAAGGGCCCAGGGCCTGGGGGAGCGACCTCCAGAGCCCAGCTTTCTTGGGACTCGGAAGGAGCCAGCCCCCTCCACCAGCAGGAAAGCCTCCTGCCTTCCCTCCTTATAAGGAATTCTGAGATGCCTCTTTTTTCCCCTCCCTCACCCCCTTTTTATGGCAGAGTTCTTGTCCCTGTTGACTAGGACTTTGGGGACAGAGAGGAGCATTTGGGGAGGGTTGGAGGGTGAAGGATGGAGCGGAACTCGGCCTGGAGCCCTCAGTGGGTGGTGTTTCTCTCCCTAAGGAGCTCCTTTATTCTGAGCAGCCCCAGTAGGAGTCCTCAGTAATAGAATCGCAGGCCCCACCTGCCCCACTCTAAATCCTATACTTACAGCACTCTGCAGAAGGGGCTAGAATGAAGCGGCTCAGAACTCAGATCCCCAGAATAGAACCACTTCCGGAGAGCTCCACAAGTACAGGTTGGCGGGTGGGCAGGACACAGGACGAGTGTCTGGGAGCCACCTCCAGGCACCACCAGGAGTGAGGAGAGCGATGGCAGGAACCGTGGCATGCCCCTCAGCCACCGCAGTGGTGTCAGCTCCTTGCCGAAGGCCAGGCCTTTCCACCTAGGCACCTGGGGCAGCCCCGCGGAGATGGCTTTGGCCTAGAGGAACTGAGCAGGCCTGGGCTGCACGGTGGCAAGAAGCCGGCCGAGGCTGGCCTCTGCTGGCACCAAGGCTGCCTGGGTTTGAGAGCCATGGCTGGGGGAAGGGAGAGAAGGAAGGAGCCCTTGGAAGAACCGCAGTTGCCTTTTCTGTACCTCCAGGTTCCGTCTTTAAGTCTTACCTGTCTGAGGCTGAAGTCTAATTCCTTGCCGCTAGGAGGCATTTTTCAGGGCACTTGGTGGAGAAGGGGTCCCAGAACTCGGGCTGTGTTTGCCGGATGTGAGCCTTCCACCCACGTGGGCCTGTCTGTGTCTGTGCGTTGCTGGTTTTCATTTTAATGGTTCTAATTTGAGAATGCTCCAATGTCATTTTTACGAGGTTGGTGTAAAGAAAATTTACAGCCTTTTCCAAAAAGCTTTTTTTTTTTTTTTTTTTTTTTAAGGGAAAAAGGTGTGGAATCACTTTGGGGCTTTTATGGTCTCCTCTCCCCATCCTCCTTGTCCCCCTTCTCTGTATAGTTTCATTTTTATGTCTCTCTGCTGGAGGACAGAATCTGGCTGGTCAAGAACTTTCACCTCCCAGGTCAGTTCTCCCAGCGGCCAGGGCCGCTGATGTCGGACCCTTCTTCTTCCTCCCCCTCCCTCCGCCTCGGGGCCCTGAGCAGTTGCATTTTGAGGGGTGAAGGAAGAGGTGTTTCCTGTTTGTTTCCAATCAAGGAGTACTTCTGAGGCACCTGCTGTTTACTAGCAGTGGGTTGGCTATCTGCCCTCAAAGGCTTCATGACCTCCTACTCAAAATCTTCCAGCAATTTTTCTTGAAGTATAGAATGAAATAAAAAAATCATTGCCCCTATGTGGTCTGGCCCCTGCACATCTCTGGCCACTCCGCTTGGCCATACTGGCGTTTTTAACCTGTCGTGCACCAGGCCTCTCCCACCTCAGGGCCTTTGCACCATCTGTCTCCTTCACCTTGAACACACTCTCTTGGAAGAGTGACCTCCCTCTGATGTTAAGTGTCTCATCAAAGCCACTTTCCCCGACCACACACCCCAAAGCCAGCCCGCTTTCCTCTGCATGGTGCTTACTGCCTCTCGGAGTTTGCTTGTCTCTTTGTTTAGTGTCTTTCTCAGCTTCTTAGAATGTGAACCCCGCCAAAGCAAATACTCTGCGTCCCTAATGCTAAGGAAGCCTGAGCGTCTTGCAGGGCTTAATACCTGCTTGGTAAATTATTGGTAAATTAATAGCAAGTCAGCCTCTTGCCCTGGAGGTAAAGGTGAGGGGCTTTCCAGGGAATGCTTTCCAGCTTTGGAGTGGGGTGAGGTGGGGCCGGCACCTCAAACACTGTTCAGTCCCCCCTTCTCCTAAATCCAGCAACCCGCAGTGAAAATTAATTATCAAGGCAATTTAGGTAAGACTGAATCCCAATTTTGCCGAAACGAACCAGAGGCAGACAAAAGAAGTTTGGATTTTGTTTATTTGGGCTGCCCCTCACCACCATCCAGATGAAACCAGAATTTGCTCGTGCACCCGGTGCCCTGCCTGGCCAGCTCGTGCTGCTGCTGCCTGTGTAGAGCCCCCTGTCAGGCCTGGTGGGTTCAGGTTCTGCTGCTGCCGCTGTGTCCCTCTGGGCAAGTCACTGCCCCTCTCTGGGTCTCCATTTCCTCATCTCTAAGTGGACTAGGTCTATATAAATACAAACGCACGTGCATATAAAATTCCTGTTTTTTGACCCACTAAATTAACTCTGTATGACCAAGCCTGGTGGCTCACGCCTGTAATCCCAGCACTCTGGGAGGCCGAGGCGGGCATATCGCTCAAGGTCCGGAGGAGTTTGAAACCAGCAAGAGCAAGACCCTGTCTCTACTAAAAATAGAAAGAAATTAAATGGACAACTAAAAATCTATAGAAAAAATTAGCTGGGCATGGTGGTGCATGCCTGTAGTCCCAGCTACTCGGGAGGCTGAGGCAGGAGGATCGCTTCAACCCAGGAGTTTGAGGTTGCTGTGAGCTAGGCTGACGCCACGGCACTGTAGCCTGGGCAACAAAGCGAGACTCTGTCTCAAAAAAAAAAAAAAAATGGACTGTATGACCCACCATACAGGTTTTCAGACCAGCAGTTTGAAAAACACTGGACCAGATGCCCTCCCACACTTGCAGCTCGCCAGGGCTGTGGTCTGTGTGCTGCTGCTGCTCATTCGGAACCGCCCTGCGAGCTGTGTCCCGATTGGCACAGCCCTGCCCTCCCGCACACACGGACCCGAGTCCTCCGGCCTGGCGAAAGGACTGGCACACAGCCCTGCACCTGGCTCGCCCAGAGAGGATGATCCTTCTCCTATCCCCTCCCCCCAACCCCGAATTCTCAGAAATAGAAATGGCGGTATGGTCCCCTCCTGGAGACCAGAAACTCCGTTGCCCCAAGACTTGCTTTCCGTAGCAGCTCCATATTGCCCTCAAAGCTACAGCTCCATTCCCGCCTTCCCACCCCACCCCCTGGATGCCATCCGTTATAAGCCATTTGTTCCTAATTGCAGAGATCTTGCTAATGACTTCTGAATGGGGGATGGGGGAGGAGAGTTCAGCTTCATTAACAGACTGAGTTCTTAGGCTTGAGGAGAAAAGAGGGGGGTGTGTGTAGGCTGAAAGAGGGTTTGGTTAGCCAGGCAGTGATATCAGGCAAATGACCAGGAGCTGCCTGGGGAGAGATCAATAATAATAGCAATAGTTAATGTTCAGCCAGGCCCACTGGGTGCCAGGCAGTGTGCTGAGTACTTCATGCTCATTGTCGCGTGTGCTCTTCACAGCAGCCCTGTGAGTAAGTTTGGGGCTGTTCCAGTTCTGCAGAGGAAGAAATGGAGATTCAAAGAGGTAAAGTGACTTACTCAAGGTCACTTCGTGTACGGTGGAGCCAGGGCTTGGATGCAGATCTCTCTTGGCCAGAGTCCATGAGCAGAATGGTTGGCACTGCCTCCCTTAAAGGAAGCGTAGACGTTATCCCCAAGTCACAGAGGTGGGCATTCAGTTTTCAGTCCAAGGGGTGGAGGGAGGAAGAGGAGGAGGCTTAAGAGGCTAAATGGCTCCAGTTTTCCACTCTGTCCTAAGTCCCCTCTTCCCCCCTCCAGGTTTTCCATGATGGCTTCTCCCTGGTGGGGCATCTGGACACCATTTCCACCCAGGGTTGTGTTTGGGTACCTCTGGTCCTCCAGGAAGGGAAACTGAGCCCACCTTTCTCCTGGAGATTCCTTTCTTGGTCTTCTTCCTCTACCGCAACCATCTTCACTTCCCCTTCCCGCCCAGAGAGCCGAAAGCACACAGATGATGGGGAAGGGATCCAGCGGCCTTGCTGGCCTCTGCATGAGGTCATGAAGGCCACTCATTTGGCGGAGAGCTGGGCAGTCAGGTGTCCGGGCTCCACTACTTCTAGCTATGGGACCTTGGGCCTCAGTGTCCTTGTCTGTAAAGTGGAGGCATTGATACCTGCTCTGCCTAGCGCAGTGTTGTGAAGGTTCAATTAAATGTTTGAAGAAGTGCATTGAAAACTGCAAGGCACTGCACGAAAATTAGCTGTTAAACTCAGCGTCAGCCTTTGCCGGCCTCCTGTATTCAGCCTAGACTCAGATGAATTTTGTGAGCAGGTATCCCACGTTTGCTGTGTGCTGGGGCGGGGCTCACAGCTACCTTTGACAACATCTGTGCTTTCAAGGAGGCGCCAGGCTGGTTGGATCTGTGTGGGTCAGGGCCCATTATTTTCCACATCTGTCAGAAGTAGTGGGCAGTCCTGTGATCCACAGGCCCCAGTGCCAACAGGCAGTGTAGACACAACTGGTATAGCAGAGTGATGGATATGATCCTCTTTGTCCAGGAGGTGAACTCACCTTTCCGGTGGCGAGACTCCAGTTAGTGCTGCCACCTCCTCTGGGAAGCCTTCCCAGACTTCCCCAAGCAGAGGAAGCCCTTCTTTGGGCCCTTCTCTGGCCCCACTTCCAGCTGACCAGCTCGTTAGCAGTCTGTGTGTAAGAGCCTGTCATCACAGAACCTGGTGTGAGCCTGGGTTGGGGGGCAGAGACCATGTTCTGCTTCTCTGTATCCCAGCACCTAGCGTGGTCACCAGAACCCAGCAAGGACGTCACGACTGTAAATGGAGGAGTCGGGGAGGACTGCAGTGGAGGACAGAGTGGGGAGTCAGGGAAGGGGCGGCCTTGGTCTGGCCTGAGGTCTTACCTGGTTCTCTCTCACCTGGCCTACCAGGCAGGGACTGAGGCTGGCAGGAGGAAGAGGAGGGAAGCCTGGAGGCAGGGGTGGGGTGTGGGGGGAGGAAGGGCCTGTCACAGGGAAGGAGGTCTCACAGGAATGAGATTGCAAGGCCCTGTCATTTTTTCCTGTAAATCATGTAATTTCATGCTCCAGGGGACCACAAAGTAAGAGAGTCAGTGGGGAGTGAATTCACCTCCCAGCCGCTCCCCTGTGCACCCCAGGAGACCGAGCCCGGCTCTCTCCCCAGCTTCCCCTGGAAGCCCCTCCCCTGCTCCCCCCACCCCCAGAATCTGGGCTGCTTCACCCTCCCCCCCACGAGTGCCCCCTTTGGACCCGTGGGCTGCCCAGCTCCTCTGAGCCATCCTTTCAGCCAGCCTCACCCCCACCTCAACATTTGGAGGACAAAGAACATCAGCGCTTGAGGGGTCAGTAAGAGTGAGGTGGTAGCGGCAGGGCCTCCCTCCTGCTGACCGCCTGGCCCCTCCCTGCCTCTCCTGCCCACTGTACCCTACCTCCTGACCCCTCTCTCCACGGCTTCTCAGAGCCTGTTGACTCAGAAAGGTCAGATTTCTACTTTCTGAAGTGAACCTTGGAGAGAAGGGCCCTCCTGCCGCCCACTGGAAGCCTGGGCCACGGGCGGGGCCGTGAGGAGCATGTAGTGCGTGTGTAGACACTGTCCCCAGGTAAGGTAGGCGGGGTCTCACGGGAGCCTCCGCGGTCAGCACGGGCTGCAAAGGTGGCCGTGTTTGCGTGCTCGGCGCACGGTGGTCCCTCCACGTTCGCTTGCGGAGCCCTGAGCGTCACATCCCCGTCCCGCCTTAGCAGGTCTTGCCTTGAAGGTGCTTGTGGTGGAGCTGGAGGCTAGAAGCCCACATGAGCAAGAACAAGAGCGCGTGGACGGACGCGCGAGGGAGCCACACTCGGGGGCGCTCTCTGATAAGCGAGGGGCACGCGGCCGTGTGGGGGAGAGACTGGAGGGAGTGAAGTGGAGGACTGTTGAGAGATTAATGAGAAAGGAAGGGAGTGAACACTTCCCGAATGCCAACTAGGTGCCAGGCATTGGTCCTTTAATCCCCCCAGTAATTCGGAGATGGGTAGCGTCCCAGTTTTGCAGATAAGGAGACGGAAGCGCAGAGAGATGGAATAACTTGCCCAAGGTCATAGCTGGTAAGCCACGCAACTGGGACTGAAACCCAGGTCTGCCCAGTGCCAGAGCCCCCTGTCAAGGGCCTGGGCGCAACCGCTCTGCCCCCGTGGGCATCTTGGGGAACCTGGGGACAGATGGTTTTGTGCTCCTGGAATGTGGATTCAGGGCAGGTCCCTATATCCCTGACCTGTGAACCGGCCCCCCCCCACTGACCCAGAGTGAGGGCACAGAATTTTCTGGGCTCTGTGACTGCTTGACTGTCACACTGACCTGCTGTAGCTGCTCCTCCTGCAAACTCCATATACTTCCCGCTCCTGTGACCCTTTTGGCTCAGAGTCCAGTCCAAGCCACCATGTCCTCCATGCCCAAACCACTGTGGTCCACGTGCCTCTGCTTGATAGTTCAGACATCCTTTAGGACTTGATCCGATTCCCCCAGTGCCATGATGCCTTGCACCCACACTTTTGAACTCAGAAAGCCATGCAGTGCTCAGAGCCTGTGCCACTGACCCCTCGACCCTACCCTGGTCCTCGCAATGTGTGCCCTAACTCCATGGCGAATACTATTCCTTTTGCCCCCAGCCTGACCACCCATTAAGGCAGATGGTCTTGGAGTCGGGTTCCTGGGCTCAAATCCTGGCTCTGATTCCTCCTAGCTGTATGATCTTGAGCAAACTTAACGTCCTGGAGACTCAGTTTCCTCATCTGCAAAATGGGGTCTAATAATCCCTACCTCACAGCCTTACAGGCAAGGATTAAATAAGATATTGCCTGTGAAGTGCCTGACACATAGATGCTCAACAGTAGTACCTGTTATTAATGTCCTGAGTCCACCCCCCCCTGTACTTTATCCTAGAGTCATGTTTGACCTTTGGCCCTTCCATTTGCTGTCCCCATTGAGTCCTAACAAGGTTGAGTCCCTATAGGCTCTGATCCCTGAACCCCAACAGCTCCCCTGACTGAAAGCATCTCTGTGCTTTCCCCAAGCCCTTTTGGATCCCTGACTCTTTCACCCCCAAGACCTTCCAACATGCCCAGAATTCCTGCCCGCTGGCACCCCAGACTCTCCCTGAGTCCTGGATCCCACCCAGCCTCTCAGGCCACTGCTGGGGCAGAGCGGCACTGACTCAGCCCCTGTCTTGCAGGCTCTCCAGGTGGCCCGGCAGTTCCTGTTGCAGCAGGCCTCAGGCCTGAGCTCCCCGGGGAACAATGACAGCAAGCAGTCTGCCTCTGCCGTGCAGGTGAGGAGTAGGTGCCCTGCAGGCTGGGCTGGGCTCAGGCCAGCTCTAGAGGGTGGGCCTGGCACAGAGGGAGGGCAGGGACCCCTTGGAGAACTGCTCTTGCCAGCCCCATGTGCCAAAGAGTGGGCAGCCTTCCAGAAGGAAATTGAGTCAGTGCAGGGGTGGGGCGAAGAGACTTCCACTTTCTCTCCAGTCTCCACCTGAACAGCCAGGCCCTCGCCTGGCTCAGCCTCTTTCCCTTTGTGTCTGTCACTAGGAGTTGGTGTCTGTCTGCAGCTTTCACTGTCTCTTTGTACCCCTTTTGCTGTTTGCTCTCCCCTGCCTCTTCCCCTCAGGGTCTCTCTCAGCCACTTCTCCTGTGTCTGCGTCCCTGTGGGTCACTCTGTCTGTCCCTCTCTGTTTCCGTGTCTGGGTCTCGACCCCTCCCAGTCGCCACAGTCAGTCACCTGGTCTCCTCCTTATCTCTCCTCCACTGAGTCTCTCCAGTCTCTCCACATTTCCTGTCTCTTGGTGTCTCTCTGTCTCTTTTGTTTTTCTTTGCACAATCTGCCCTTTTTTCCCCTTCTCCCTTCCCCCCAGCTTGCCAGCCCATCTGGCTGGCTGGGGGAGGGGAGATCTGGAGGGGGTGGAGGGGGCGGAGGCGGGAGGGGGGGCACCCAGGCCTTCTGTTTACCTTTTGTGTCACAAAGAACTTGGGAGAATTGCAGTCGGAGTCTGGGCTGGGTCACAACTCGGGCAGCCCGCTCCCCTCCCCCTCTGCCAACAGCCCAGCATCCTCCTCCCCACCCGCCCCACAGCAGCGGGGGAGGCTTGGGACTGGGGAGAGGATTAAGCAGGGCTTTGAAAGGAAGTTTATCTAAGGGAGGAAGGGTGAGCCGGGGCCTGAGCGGGGATCCTGAGCCACAGGCTGCTGGAGTCTGGGGTCCCAGCTGAGGGAGGCGAGGAGGGTGTGGGGTGGGGTGCAGGTGCTCAGAGAAGGACCCAGGACCCGGCTTTGTCCTGGGGGAGATTCCATGGCTCTGACAAAGTGTCTGGGTTTTATATAAAACGAGCTTACATTCAGAAAGTGCTTTGGAAAAGTTCAAGGTGCCAGACAGATGTGCAGCCTCAGCGGTAGCCCTCTTAAAAATCTTGAACCTAATGAGACAACCCTCAAAGGGGAGGAGTTGGGGTGGACCTAGGGTGGAGGAGGGGATGAAAAAATCTGGAAAATCAATAAAGGGAGGAAGAGAAAGTTCTGGAACAACCAGGAAGAGATAAAAGTCTCTCATACCTGTGTGGTGTCAGGATTGGGTCTCTCTGAATTAGTTACCTGCACATACACTCCCTGCATCTGCAGTGGCCCTTGGCTGCCTCTCTGAATCCTCCCTACCCTGGGCCCAGCTTAGTGCCCCCTCTAAGAACAAGGAGAGGTAGGCTGGGCAACAGGAATGCTCCCCTAGACCCGGAAGAGCCTGCTGACCCAAGGCAGGAGGGAGGGAGTTTGGTGGCAGGAGGGAGGGAGGTTGGTGGCAGTCAGGGGCTGAGTCAGTGGCACAGCCGAGATCTTGGAGGGAGGAAGGAGGCTGTGCACGCTTCCTTAGGAGACCCTCCCCCTCCAAAATGAGGGAGGTCTGGAGGTTTGGGGGTCAGAGAGACAGATGAAATGATCCTGTCCTCAGGCCTTCTCTCTCCTTGCCTTCTTCCTTTCTGAATTGATAGATTGATGCATTCATTCAACGAATACTTACTGATTCCTTCCCAAACTAACCACTGACATTGCAGAGTGCTCGCCACGAGGCAGGCACCAAGCACTTTACAAGTATCATCTCGTCCTATGGGATAGGTGCTGCCATTAGCCCCATCTTGCAATGAAGAAACTGAGGCCTGGAGAGGTTAGGAAATTTGCCCAAGGTTACACCGCGAATAGGGGACAGAGCCCAGACTTGAACACAGACAGCTAGCTCCAGGACTCACACCTGTAACCATTGCTCTGTGCAGCTCCCTTGCACTTTAGCACAGGAGTGAACACCGTAGTTCCCAGGTACAGAGGCCCAGGCGATGGCTCCCCCAGTCTCAGGGAGATGGGGGTTCTTAGGGCCACATCTGAGCTTCCCCCGGAGCCTGACTGTGGATCCCTGTCTTTCTCCTCCAGCCTGCATACCTTCCTTGCTCCACCCCACCCCTAAGTTTAAGTCTCCAAGAAAAGGTGGGGCCTCTGTCCCCAAGTAGGGTGCAGGGCCTGGAAATGGCTTTTCTGTGAGCTCAAGGCTGCTGGGGGAAAGAGGAGCTTGAGGGCCAGGCTCCCCACCCAAGTGTAAAAATACATTTTGTTGATTGGAGCTCAGAGTGAACTGGGTAAAGAAGGGAGATCGAAAACAGCCCCTTTCCCAGTGGTCCCCACAGAATGCTGCTGCTCTGCTTCCAGCAGGGTCACCTGCCCTCGCTGCTCCTGCCACAGCCAGCAGAGCCAGCTTCAGAAAGTTTCCCAAACAATCTCAGGGCTCCAGCTTCAGCCCAGTGGGATTACCTGGCCACGTGCAGGCCGGGCCCCAGCAGGAAGAGGTCCTTCCCAGCAGGCAGCACAGGTGGCTGGGGTGGAGGGGAGGTGGCTAAGGCCAAGGTCCTGGACTCTGCCCCTACCTGGCATTTCCAGAAGTTGTTCTCCGTATTCCCACACTGTCTCTCTTGCTTGCTGCACCTGCAGCCCAGTTAGTCTGAGGACTTCTTTCTGGCCATGTGCGAGGGAGTGGAACTCAAACCAAGCTCCGGCCTAATGTCACCACATTGCTCCTCCCCACCCCCCAACGACTCCAGACCCCATACTTAAAAAGTTGCATTTGTTTCCTTGACTCTGGCACCAAATTGCATCCATCCCCACCCTCAGACCCCAAATAAGCTTCCTTTATGTCAGGTACTGTCCCTGTTCCTTCCGGTCAGGCCATCCAGCTGAGCACACCGTATTCATTCATGGTGGGTGGAGGGCTCAGGGGCCTGAGCAGGGTCCCTGAGGGAAGGGCTGGGGCAGCTGCCGGCACAGGCCTGGCTCATGCTGCAGGGCTCTAGGAAGCAGCTAGCTGCCCTGGCTGCTCTCCAGACGGTGACTTACGGGCCCTGCCAAGCCTGCTAGCTGCAGAGTGCCCATCCTGCCACATCCCAGCCTGGTGAAGGGTCAGCAGGGACCCCAAGGCAGCTCCTGCTCAGTCCTCAGAACCCCGCCTTCCCAAGGGGGAGGTGGATGGGGTCCGCCAGCTTGGGAGATCCGCATGTGGCAGCCACCTCACTGACCCTTCCTGACCCCATCAGCCACTTTGAGATGACTGCCAGGAACCTGCAGCCTCAAGGCCACCTGTGGCCCGCTGGATCCCTGAGTGTGACCCCTTTATTAAGAGGATTTGTTCTGTGAAGTTTGGATTCAGTCAAAAGGACACACTCAAGGATCCAGAAGGCCACATGTGGCCTTGGTCCTAAGTGACCATTGCCATGCAGTGCCCCAGGGCACAACAGGGCAGAAGGGGCAGGGAGACGACAAGAAAGAGGGGAATGGGGAGATCCAGAATGTTTTAAAGGGGGATCATCTTTACATTTACGCAGAATTGATCAGTATACCAGTCCCTTTACCACTTCTCTCCTCCTTTTGGGCAAGGCAGGCTGTTTTAATCTCTCTTGGCCTCAGTTTTCTCATCTCATCTGTGAAATGGCAATGACGACAGTACCGTGTCACAAGGTTGCTATAGAGATGCAGGGTTAACATAAAAGGCTAGCCAAGTGCTGGCATGTACTAAGCGGTCAGCAATACCCTCTTGTGCCATCGTGTGACGCGGGGAGGGCAGGGGCTCCAGACCCCAGTCAGCAGACAGGGAAGTGACGCTCGGTGATTTCCAGGAGTAGTAAATATCAGGGACAAAAACCGGGCTCACCTGATTCAGAAATCAGGGCTGTTGAGTTCTCCACCACCACCACGACACCTCTCTTTGTTGACCACTGCCATGGGAGGAGGAAAGACAGGACAGTCCTGGTACCTGCTCCATGCCGGCCACTCCCGGCCTAGGGTTTGCATCCTGAGTCTTCGATGGCAAAACCCAAGTTGTTAGAGCAGCCACCCCAGCTGCCTCTAGACCAGCCAACAGCAGACACAGGCTGGCTCTGCCAGGGGATTGGGTCTGTGTGCCCCCAACCCCAGCCCCCCTCAGAGAGCAAAGACCATACAACCCTGCAACTGGGCTTTCTGCAGAGTCCTTCCGGGATACAGCTGTAGAGAGGGAGTTTGCCTTTGTGGGCTCAGTCTCATCGCCCCTTGGCCCCCTGGACATCCCATTTTCGTGTGTCCTCCCTGACCTTCTCAACACCTGTCCTAGGGGTGGGGCAGGCAGGGTGGGACCTGGGAACCATGGAGTACACACACCTGGGCTTGAATCCCAACTCTGCCCCTTAAAGCCGCTAGACCTCTCTGATCGCATTGGTATGAACGGGGTGAAAAGAGACAAAACCACTCCTAAGGGCTGGCGTGGCACATCCCCTCTGGATTAGAGATCCTGGAAGCCTTCGTTCACATGGTGTGTGCCTTACCAAAAAGCTAGGTGTTACGCCTGCCAGGCCCGGGGTGGGTCACAGCCTCTAGTTATGGATGGGCGAGAAGAGTTGGGGGCAGTGGGGCAGTTCCCCGATATCCTTGGATTCACTGTCCCTCCCTGGTTGGTCTTCTTGCTGAGGATTTCCTAATCCGTGGCTTAGGGGCTGGTTCAAGGCTGAGTCCTGCCCCTGCCAGGGATTGGAAAGAGAACCAGCTCCTCCTCCCCTGCCCCACAGGTGGGGCTGAGGCTGGGAGGGAAGGTCCCCTGGGAACTGAACCTGCCACCACCCAGGACAGGTCCCTCCCTACACACTCCTCCCTAACTGGGCTGGCCCCATACCCCTCCTTTCCTGCCGAGGGCCAGCAGAGGGGCCTCTGATTTGCTGGGGAAGGCATTTCAGCCCAGGGAGCAAACACTCAGTGAGCACCTACAGTGTGCTGGGCACTCTGCCAGGACTCAGGAGTGAGAGAGGAGGTTAGAGAAGAGTCCTTTATACGTGAGGCTCACAGAGTGGTGGAGGCGGCAGATCACCCCAGCAGGGCACTGTCCTGCTAAAATGGCAGAACAAGACAACGTAGGGGCCTAGACCTGCCTGGTGGATACTACACAAGCCTGGGGGGTTCATGGAAGGTGGGGCTGGGAAAAGCATGATGTCATTGTTTTCCCCTGAACCTTTTCCTTGCAGCTGGATTCCTGGGGCCTCCTATGGAGGCCTAACCCAGGGCAAGGGGCAGAAAGCTGCTCTGCTTCTAGCCTGAATGTTCCAGCTAGAAGGTGTCATCTCTTATAGCCCAATCCCTGTGTTTTTTGTTTGAGGAAACTGACAGCCCAGAGAGGGCAGATGACTTGCTCAGGGTCACACAGTGAGTTCAGTACAGAGCTAGGAGGAGAAGCCTGCCCTCCTAACTCCCTGCCTGTTGTTCCTTCTGCCTCACCGTAGACAAAATTACGCACATGCCCACACACCAGGACTAGGACGGAGCCAGCAGCACTCCCTGGGCTTCCGCTCTGGGCCACTGTGTGTGTGTGCCATCTAGACAGGTGTGTGGAGAGTGTGACGTGTGTGTGAGCAGGGCCACGGTCCGGGTCCTCCTGCCAGGTGGGCCACTTTTTGAATCCTTCCGATGGCCGTAGACTGCCCTCCCAGCCAGGCCCACCTTGCAGGTGGTGGTCTCAGAGTAGACCGAGCAAGAGTAAGGAGTAGAAACCCTCCAAAGCGTGGATTCTACTGATCAGTGTCACTCGGGTCTAATCCTTCCCCGAGGACAGCACATCCTACGGTAATAGCCAACCCTTACAAGCGCTTGCTGTGTGCCAGGCTCTGTCTTCAGTATTAACTCATTAATCCTCATGGGAACCTTAAGAGGTAGGCACTATTGCTGTTTTTATTTTAGAGACAAGGAAAACAGAGCAGAGAGGCAGCGCTGAATTTGAACCCAGGCTGTCCCACTCCGAGCCACTGTGCCACACCGTGGCGGGGCCCTGGGTGCTGCCCCTCCCCGGGGTGGGATCAAGGTGAGCAGGCTAACGGCCCAATCCCGCAGGTGCCCGTGTCGGTGGCCATGATGTCGCCGCAGATGCTCACCCCGCAGCAGATGCAGCAGATCCTGTCCCCGCCGCAGCTGCAGGCCCTGCTCCAGCAGCAGCAAGCCCTCATGCTCCAGCAGGTGAGTCCAGCCTGGGACAGTTCGCGGGTCCCTCCTTTTCCCAGCCTCCTTCTCCTGGGCTGTTTACCACCTCCACTGAGGCCAGTGCTGGGAGAAACCTGAGGGACCGCTCAGGCCAGACTGGTCTGCATTCCTCCAGGGCAGCTGGGAGAGGTCAGAGCTCAGGCCTGTCTCCCAGCAGCCCTGGCCCCCACGATAGTCCCAGCACGCCCTCCCTGCTGCCAGCCCCACTCTGTCTGCGGAACTCCAGGGCAAAGTGCTGGAACACCCTGGCACCTTGTCCCTGCAACCTACTCAGGAGATCACCAAGAGCAGGGGGTTCAGAGCTATGGGATGAGCCACCCCTGCCCTTTCCCCTCCCTCTGCGCCAGCCCTGCTCAGGGACCCTCAGGGCTGACTGGGGAGAGTGACCCCACCCCTACCTTCCATCCCAGCTGCAGGAGTACTACAAGAAACAGCAAGAGCAGCTCCACCTGCAACTCCTCACCCAGCAGCAGGCTGGCAAGCAGCAACCCAAAGAGGTGAGAGGGCTCCCGCAGCCCCCACGATGGCCAATGTCCCGGGACCTACAGCCCGTCCTGGCCAGAGGCTGGGAGTCCAGAAGTGGTCAGGAGGGAATTGCCTTGTGGGAACAGTAGAAAATTCAGCAAAAAGCTGGGGGAGGGCATGGAGGGAGCAGCGGAGGGGGGTTGGGGATGGTGGCCCACTTGGGTGCCTCCATCTCCTCCACATTCTTTCTCTCCTTGCCTTGTGCTGTCTCTGCGCATGTGGACGCTTACATGCGTGTCATCATCGGTATGTGGTGTCTGGTGGTCCATGCTCATGCCCAGCTACCTCGTGGCCATGCCATCTTCCTGGCCACTTGTTCCTTAGTGACCCAGCATTCAGCCCTCCACACCTGCCCTGAGACTCTTTTAGCCCCTCAGCAAACTGCCTGCCTCACCTCTGCAGCCCCAGCTTCTGCCCCATCTTGCAACGTCTCTCCCAGCCCCACCCAGACCTTACCCACAGGATCCTCCCAGAGCTCCCAGCCTGCGCCCCTGCTCCATCTGAGCTCCGATAGCGGCCCCTCCCCCGGGCCCCATTCATGTACTGCCCCCCCCACCATGCCCATGTCACAGCCCTGTGTTCTGAGTTGCCTCTTCCCAGAAGGCTGCCCTGAAGCCCAGGCCTTCTCTCAGCCCTCAGCCTCCCCTTCAGCTGGCTTGTAATTGGTGTGTTACCTGGTCTAGGCTGAATTTATCCTCTTGTCGCCTTATTGAATAGCCAGCCCCCTACCCCACCCCCGGGCAGGCAGGCAGAGACGCCCCTGCCTCCCGAACACCCGGATATGCCTGGCCTGGGGCTCAGAAAAGACTTGCTGACAGCCTGACAGTGCCTGCCTGAATGGGGGAGGGGTCGGGCGAGCGGGCAAGTGCCTGGGCAGCGGTGATGTGACTGCCCTGAGCCTGGGTCCCCGTGAGTCCGTCAGACTCCTTGATTCTCTTTATCTAAATAGCAAGGGAGGAGATGAGCTGGGGGGCGGGGGCAGAAAACCCCCTCCCCAGAGCAGAAGGGGGGTGCCCCGGGCGTGTGGGAAGGGTGCCCTCCAGCCGGGAGTGGCCCCCAGAATCTGACAGGCTCATCGATCATGGTGACGAGCCCCCCAGGCGCACACAGGCGCACACAGCTGCAGCGGGAGCCGGAGCGGCGGGAGGAGGCAGGCGGGAGGAGGGAGGGCGTCGTGCTGCGTGCCTGGGTCTGGCTGTGTGTGTTTGCGCGCGTGCGTGCGTGCATGCGTGTGTTTACTGCGAGGAGGCATGCAGCCCTATGGAAGCTGGGCCGGGAGCAGGGACGCTGCAGCTGCAGACGCCACAACGGCAGCTCCAGGGGCTGACAGGCCCTGGGAGGGGGTGGCCGCAGGGTGGGGGCCCGATGGCATGCCTGAGGCTGACGGCACCCCTCTCTGCCCGCCCCCTCGGGCCCCCCACCAGGCACTGGGGAACAAGCAGCTGGCCTTCCAGCAGCAGCTCCTGCAAATGCAACAGTTGCAGCAGCAGCACCTGCTCAACCTGCAGAGGCAGGGGCTGGTCAGCCTGCAGCCCAGCCAAGCCTCGGGGCCCCTCCAGACCCTCCCGCAAGGTGAGCATCCGCCACCCCTCCCCTCCCCTCCCAGGCCTGGCCCTCGGCCCTCTCTGCACCTGCGAGCTGGCAGCCCCTGCTCCCAGGGGTGAGCTGGAAGGCCGAGTGTGCCCCTGGGGCCCTGCCAGCCTCCTCGGTCTCTCCCGCAGCAGCCGTGTGCCCGACGGACCTGCCCCAGCTGTGGAAGGGCGAAGGTACCCCCGGGCAGCCTGCCGAGGACAGCGTCAAGCAGGAGGGGCTGGACCTCACTGGCACAGCTGCCACTGCTACCTCGTTCGCCGCTCCTCCCAAGGTCTCGCCCCCGCTCTCCCACCACACCCTGCCCAACGGACAGCCCACTGTGCTCACATCTCGGAGAGACAGGTACAGGGGCCCAGGCTGGGAGGGGGCCAGACCCCTGCCTGAGGGCAGACCCGGAGCTGGAGGGATGGCACCGTGGCTGGCGGGGACTGGGAGGGAGGGAGGGGCTGGAGCTCAGGGACCCGAAAGTCTACCCCCTCCCAGTATGCCTAGCCCCAGGGAGCCCCATGTCCGGGGCAGAAACATCACCAGCAGGGGAGCTGGTGCCCAGCTGAGCCCAAGGCTGCTGCAGTCTTAAGGGTCTCTGACCACCACCTCCCTCCTGCCCTCCCAGCTCCTCCCATGAGGAGACCCCTGGCTCCCACCCCCTGTACGGACATGGAGAGTGCAAGTGGCCAGGCTGTGAGACCCTGTGTGAAGACCTGGGCCAGTTTATCAAGTAGGTGTCACCCCAGCCCCTCCCCTAGCAGCCTTCCCCACAGGGCCTCCCCCCAGCCTGCCTCCCATCCTGCCCTCCTGGGGCCTCAGTCCCCAGCTTGCCCCTGGTCCCCCACCCCCACCCTGTCTGTACTCTCAGGTCCCCATCCTCCCACCCCGTCTCCAGAACAGGTGGGGGGCAGGAAGAAAAGGAGAGGACAGACATGAGCATTTCTCCACCCACCACCCTCCCTCGCTCCCCTCCAGAGGTAGCCCTGGAGAGTGATGGCCGAGTGACGGGCTCAGCCCGAAGACAGGCGGGCGGGCCGGAGGCAGACAGGCGGCTGGCAGCCGGCGGCCAGCTGCCACAGCCGTGCCAGGCTCTGTCACTGACTGATTAACTCCACCGTCTCCCAGACCCTTGCAGCATCAGGGTCAAACAAATTGTTTTCACGCTTCGTCAGAGGTTTACTTAATTAGTTCATTTGCAATTAGATCTCTCTGTAGCTGGGATTTTAGCAAAGACATCAAAGGAAGCTGATGAGAAGGGAGAAGAAGCCTTCCTCCCTTGCCCCGTTTTTCCACCTCTTTCTCTTCTTTGTATCTGTCTGTCTGCTCTTCAGGCCGTGGGTGGGATTAGAGGCTGGGCTGGGAGGGTGGTGACAGCGGGGAAACCCCAGCCGATTTTCTCTCCTCCCGTCTCCTTGAAGACACCTCAACACAGAGCACGCCCTGGATGACCGCAGCACGGCCCAGTGCCGGGTGCAGATGCAGGTGGTGCAGCAGCTGGAGATCCAGGTGTGGCCCATAGGATGCTGGGGAGGGACACAGTGGCTCAGCCCCTGCCCGCCCACAGCACTGACTTCCTAGGAGGGCTCCGGGGAGTCTCAAGGGAGGGTCCTATGGTCAAAGTCACCATCTTATGCTTTCTAGGTCCTAGTTACCATGGTTGTGAGGTGAGCATAGCTGGCTTCTGGGGGGTACCCAAGGTTGGGGCATCTCTGCTGGGAGGTCCAGAAGAGACTCACGCTGCATAGAAACAACAAAAATGATATTAACAGCTAACATGCCGAGCCCTTCCTTTGTGCTGTACTAAATACTCTATGTAGCTCAAGGAGTCCTCGCAGGCTTCCGTGGTGGGTGCCCTTACTGTCCCCATTTAACAGATGGAGCAAACAGAGGCACGGAGAGCTAAAGTAACTTGCCTGTGGTCACTCGGCTCGTGAGCGGCAGAGCCAGGATTAGAACCCTGGTGGTCTGGTTCTCAGGCTGCGCTCTGTAACAGCCCATCAGTCAGCCAATCGATACTTGCCCATTTCCTTCTGGCTCCGAGCAGAGCGCCCTGCCGGGAGGGGTAGTCATGAAAGACCTATTGAATTTATGAATGGGGCGAGTGAGTCATTCATCCATTCCTGCGTCTCCATTCAGTCTGGGAGGGCGGCACACACAAGTGCCACTGCTCTGGGCACGGGTGTCCGTGTGGCTCAGCCACAGCCTCTGCCCCCCTCGGGGAGGGCAGGCATGTGCTTTAGGAAGGAGGCCCATGTGTAGAGGCGGCGAGGATCTGGAGCCTGGACACACAGGAAGGCTCTGATGGTCATGGTCACGGTCCGGAGGGCTTCCTCGAGCTGGCAGCCTGGGCCCTGGCCTTGAGGGCGTGGAGGGGCCAGAGGGACAGGGACAGAGGGAGCTGGGATGCTGAGGCATGGAGCCAGTGGGGTTTGGAGCGGGGCTTTCTGTGGATCTGGTGGAGAAGGGTGGGATGCAGGGAAGGAAGAAGAGCCCCTGCCGCCCAGGGCCGGCTGCCGGCTCATCTCCCGCCTCTGCACCCTCACAGCTTGCCAAGGAGAGCGAGCGGCTGCAGGCCATGATGGCCCACCTGCACATGCGGCCCTCCGAGCCCAAGCCCTTCAGCCAGCCAGTGAGTGCCGCTCCCCTCCCTGCCCCCCAGCACCCCTCCACAAGCCCCGACCCTCAGGACCCCCCCCCGGGGTGCTATCTCAGCACCCTCCTTGTTGCTCACAGCTGAACCCGGTTCCTGGCTCCTCTTCATTCTCTAAGGTGACCGTCTCTGCAGCAGACTCCTTCCCAGATGGCCTCGTGCACCCCCCAACCTCGGCCGCTGCCCCCGTCACCCCCCTACGGCCCCCCGGCCTCAGCTCTGCCTCCCTCCACAGCGGGGGCCCTGCCCGCCGGAGAAGCAGCGACAAGTTCTGCTCCCCCATCTCCTCAGGTGAGGGCAGGCTGGGGCTGCAGGGCTGCCGCGGGGAGGGCTGCTTTCCCTGGGCTGGGCCTCCCCATCTGGCCACCTTGTCCTCTGCCTGTCTCCCCAGAGCTGGCGCAGAACCACGAGTTCTACAAGAACGCCGACGTCAGGCCCCCCTTCACCTACGCCTCCCTCATCCGCCAGGTGAGCACGACAGGTGGAGGAGGGTGGGGAGTGGCACACAGGCTGCACCCTACTCAGTGGTGCCTGTCCCTCTCACCTTGTCCGCTCCCTCCACACCTGTGTCTTGCTTCTTTCCCGGCTGTCCAGGCTCTCCCGCTCAGTCGGCCTGCTGCTCACACGGCATGTCTCTGGGGACGCACGCTGCTTCTCACCGCTCACGCCGCAGTGCCATTCACGTGCTCATTTCACGTTCGCACACTCCCACGAGAGCTGCACTGGCTCTCAGTCTGCCGCCCCCTCTCCCACACGCACACGTGCACCTCCCTCCCTGTGTCCGCAGTCCGCATGTCATGTCCTCAGCGTTCACGTGATAGTCACCCTCACACAAGAACATACAGTTACACGTATGTCCTTTCTGATACTGCCCTACAGGCACGCACGCCCTCACACGCATTCTCACACACCCCGTCCCGGGCTTAGAGTGCCCCTTGCCAACATCAGGATAAGTTCCACGCAGCCTCCGCCCTGCAGACATCCTGTCGCAGGCACACTGCTTCCATCCTCATCCTCAGTGCAGAGCCCGGCACTTGAAGCCATTTCCCCCCAGAAGCAGCCGCTGTGCTCCTCGCACAAGTGCTCGCCCTCGGAGGCTCGTGCCGCTGTTAGCCTCGGCCAGGCTCGGCAGCTGCAAGCACCCCCCCCCCCCGCCGCCCTGTCACCCGTGCATTCTGCAGCAGGTCTCCCACTCACACTTGTGCCGGGCAAGACGCAAGGGAGGGAAGCTCCGGGGGAGCACAGGGCCGTTGTGACCCTTCGAGGCCCAGGCTGAGGCTCCCTTTGCTCTTTCCTTGCCCGCAGGCCATCCTGGAAACTCCCGACAGGCAGCTGACCCTGAACGAGATCTATAACTGGTTCACCAGGATGTTCGCCTATTTCCGCAGAAACACCGCCACCTGGAAGGTGAGGCTGCCCCTTCCACCTCCCCCTGGGCCCGGCCCTCCTTGGACAGCTCCTCGTCCCCCTGAGACCACGGCTGCCTAATAATTAGTTCCCTAAACAACTAGTCCTGAAGAACTGGCCCCCCCAGGGCCCAGCGGGGCTAGGTGCCTACCGCCACCTCCACCGCAGCAGGGTCTGTGGAATGTTCTGTAGCCACCTCCTAATGGACACCATCCTTCCACCCTTGCTGCCTTTCTGGGAGGAAATCCTCCAGGTGCTCCCCTGTGAGCCCCATGAAGCAGGCCCTCCAGGAACTGGTCATGTCCAGGCTTGGAACAGAGGCTGGGATCAGTGAACCCTGTGGTCCCGACACCTTGGCTGACAGTCTGTGTCCTGGAGCCCGAGTGGGGCACGTGTGAGCACGGACACAGGGTGGACCTTGCGGCTGGGCGCGCGCGCACACACACACACACACACACACACACACCGGCACTCGCTTCTCTCCCCAGCTCTGCCATCAGCCGCAGAAAGATAATTGTCTCCATCCAATTAGTCATTTCAACACCTTCGGCCATAAGAGTTTTCCTGGGGGACCAGGAGCAGGCAAGAGGGGGACCCTAGAAAAATGGGACGCAGAGATGTGGGCTAGAGCGCTAAGCCATTTATTTTCCTAGCCAAGATGTGTGTGTGTGTGTGTGTGTGTGTGTGTGTGTGTGTGCGCGCACGCGTGCTCATGTGCACAGAGCAGGGTGGGAAAGCAATATCTAAACTGGGAGAGGGATGGGAGAAGGAGGAGAGACTGCGGCCCTGTGGGGAAGGTTAGACACCAGGGGAGGAGTCCCTAGCTCAGAGCCTTACTTGCATCCCTGGCTCTTGAGTCCCCCTGCTGACCAGTGCAGGAACTACAGTTATGCAGGCTCCTTCCCCCAATCCCACCAGGTTTCAACAAGTGTTACTGAGGTCTTCCCGCCAGCCCAGCGCACAGGGCTGGGTGGGATCTGCAGGGGGCTCAGCCTTCTCTGCCCCAGGAATGTGCTGAGTACAGCAGGAGGGAGTGCTTTGTGACTTGTGACCTTCCATATCCCCATACCCCGTTCCCAAAGCTTGGGAGAGAGGCTGTTGGGCTGGGACAGCTGCTGTGATTGGCTGTGAGTGATGTCATTTCCTGCCAACCAGAGTCATGCCCTCTTTCTGAGCCAGCAGGGCCTTCGTGGGGCCACCTGGTCCAGTCCTCGAGCTCCAGGCCAGTTCAGACACCAGGTTTTATAAATGGTTGTGGGATCATTACGATTATCATCTAATGTTCACTTTAACAATGAATTTGAATCCTTTGCCTTTAGGAGTGGCAATGTAGAGCCTCATTTCCATAAGACAACCTCTTCCTTGGGGGCAGAATACCACTCACCCAGCTACCCTCCTTTCCTCTTCTCGCTTACCCGCCCCACCCCACCGTAGTTTTCTACTTCTCTCTTCTCTTGAGATTAGGGGGAGCTGGCGACTTCCTTAAACCACTCAATGACCATCATGAAACCACCTCCCTCAATATTCCAACCCTGCCACCTTTGACTGGTTGTCCAGCCTTGGTCATCTCTGTAGGGTGTCTCTCCCTCCCAGTTCTTTACCTCCATCTCCCCTCACCTAATCCAGGTCCTGGATTAGGGTGCTGCTGGGGTGCACCAGGGTACCTGTGTGCGCCAGGGCCCAGCAAGAAGATGGCTGAGCTGGAGACAGTGAATGGCTGAGAGGGTAACCTTCCCAGTTAGCAATGCTCTGCTGTAGCCTCCACCACCTAGGGGCGCTGCATGTGTCCTCCTCACCGCATAGCAGACTCCATCCCAGCTTGAGGTCCACTCTGACCGTCAGGTTTTTTTCAGCCACGCTTCATTCACACTACTTGGGAAATAGGTCCCATCTATAGTCAGCCGTTTCCCTTCTACCTCTACTTTCCACCCATTCAGCGGCTCCTTAGGTCGCTCTTCTCCTCTCCTGAATTATTTTGGCCTCCTTCTTTCCCTCTTTCTTTACCCTTTCTGGCCCCCACCCTGTGATGCTGCCTGCCCAGACCAGGGCAGAAGGGTTGGGAGTGGGTGTGGGCCAGGCCAGCTGCTGTTCATCCAGGGACAGCGCTGCCATCTGCCAGGCTGATGGTCCTGGCTGGCCCTCCCCCTGTGTCCATCCCCTCCCAAGGCCCGTGTTGTGGGCCCGTCCTTTTGTTTACGCGGCCCCCGCCAGACCCCTTAAATTGCCGTTAATGTTTCAGCGTAACGAATTAGTCTCTCATCACGAATCAGGCTTCGAAATGAGGGAAAAAAGCCCCGGTGAGGCCATCCTCGGAAATTGGGGTCATTCTCATTTGCAAAGCGGAGGATCGGAGCCCCGTAATGCGGGCAAATTTATTCCGAGGCAGGAGCCCCGGCGTGATTAGGCCCTTTGTAATTATCGCTCCAAGAGATTCCACTCCAGCCGCCCGCCTCCCTCGTGGATTAGCAAGCGAGTCGGAAAAATACACAGGATTTAATTAGAGGCAAATTAAAATTGGTAATGAAATCGGGCCAGTTGCAAGTGGCAAGAGTTGGAAGGGAGAGAGGGAGAGGGGATCTCCAGGGGCACAGGCTGCCGCCCTGCCCGCTTTCTTCCCCGTTTAGAAATGTAAAGAGGAGACAAGGACGGGGATGAGGTGGGGGAGGCTGAGGGAGGACAGGTAGCAGGGACAGGACGCAGGCAGATAGGGACGGTGATGGCTGGGAGCCGGCAGGGGGGCAGTGAAGCTGGGAGAGGAGGGTGCAGGCACAGGACTGAGGGACATGGAGGGGACAAGGGAAGGCTCCCATGGGGGGTGGAAGTGGGCCACGCTCCCCCACCCTCACCCAAGTGTCCTATAAACCAGATGACCCCAATTCTTGAAGTTATCCTGCCAGGAGGAGGTGGGAGTGACAAGGTGACGTACCCTCTCTCTCTCATTTCAGCTGTAAGCCCACACCTCCTTTCTCCCAGTTTATTTCAACAAGCATGTATTAGGCCTGTGCTGTATACCTCATGCTCTCAATAAATAAGCTGTCTGTTCTAAGCTGAAGCTCAAAGCCACGGCTCTCGGACTCCAGGGGCCGGTGAAGGTAGCAGTGAGGGCTCATGGGTTATTTCCGAAACTCCTGAAAGCTTAGCGGAAACTCCGCACGCACCTGAGATGAGGCGTCCCAGGCTCACCGAGGTGCCGGGGCTCAAATAGGATGTAATACCGATCAGAAGCCCCGAGGAACAGACGCGTGTGTCTTTGATTAGTGAAGACAGTGAATGAGGTTATTACTAACTAGACATCGTTGAGTTGGTAGAACTTTCCAAAATGCGGCAGGGAGAGGGGGCAGATAATAAAGTAGGTCATTGTCATCTGTGAGGAAGAGGCCGGCCGGAGGCCCCCCCTTCCTTCCCTCTGGCAGGGTCTCCCAGCCCAGCCCCACCCTCTGCTGGATGAGGACTCTCCCACATGTGCTCACCCCAGGGGCGAGCGAGCGCCTCTGAGCCCCCCCTCCCTGCCCCGCAGAACGCCGTGCGACACAACCTCAGCCTGCACAAGTGCTTCGTCCGCGTGGAGAACGTCAAGGGTGCCGTGTGGACCGTGGACGAGCGGGAGTACCAGAAGCGGAGACCGCCAAAGATGACGGGGTGCGTGGGTGCAGCCCTGCCGGGGTGCACCAGGGTACCTGTGTGCGCCAGGGCCTTCCCGGTTGGAGGAGGAGGGGGTGTGGGGAGAAAAGGAGGGGAAGAGCCTAGTGCTCGGGGAGGGGGCTGGAAACTGGGAGTGGCAGATAATCAGGAGATCGGACACCTGCATGTCTCCTTCTGTCCTTACTCTGAGGGAAGGGGGAAGGGGGACCTGCTGCCAGAGTAACCACGGCCAGAGCTGGGACACAGATGCTGGCCAGCAGGCTGTGAGGGGGCTGCCACCCCAGGGCCCCTGCTCCCCCCAGGTCAACAGGATGGGCCAACCTCTGAGGCCCCTGGGCCCCACCTCTCCACTTTATAGGAAAGAGGCCCACAGAGGGCGCGGGACTGGCGGGAGGCCACGTAGCAGATCAGCAGCAGAGCTGGGTCGAGGACCAGGGGTCTCCCCTGCCCCCAGGGGAGACCAGTTGACTCCAACTGACCACACAGCGTTTTAAATGGAAACTGAAGGACCGAGGGAGGGTTGTTGGCTTCCATGTAGCACCATGGCCGCCACCCCAGACACCCTCCCCCAGGTGCTTGCTTGCTGGTGCCTCTCGGCCACAGGCCGCCGGTTAAGGAGAGAGAGGTCTGAAGCCAGTTAGGTGTCTCTGGGGTGCCTATCCCCTCAAAGATTCCGCCTCCCCAGCCCAGAGTGTTCACACCCCAGGTGGTTGCAGGAGGCCGGGGCAGGGTGGGGGCCTGGCAAATGGAAGGGAAGCCATCCCTGTGGAGTGACCCCAGGGGCCAGTCCCCACGGGAGGTATTGTCACGTCTCATTACTGACTTGAAATCAACAGACCTGACTTCAGATTGCACCTCAGCCCCCTCGAGAGGCTCCGTGAGGGGCCCCCGTGGAAGAGGCAGGGCCCCGAGCTGTCGCCCCCTGCCCAGCTCCTGCACGCACCCCCCCCAGTGCGGGAAGGCCTTCTGTGAGCACATGGCACGGGCTGAGCACATGGCGTGTCACACGTCCTAGAATTTAGCGTGGCTGGCAAGCGTGGATTTTGCAGCCGTGGAACTGTTGAGGCCATAGCTCAGCGTTCATTTGCTGAATGCTGGAAAATCTAGACCAGAGAGAGGAAATGCTGGGGCGGCCTGGTATGACGACCACCAGTGGGCGAGTCCTGGCTCCTACTTAGCAACCCAAAACATTGGAGGGGTTCCGGGGCCCCCGTGAGGCTCAGCACCCTCTCCTGGGAAGGGGCCAGGCCAGCGTGAGGATGGGGTAAGATCAGGCACGCACACAACTCAGCACACGGAGGCCGATCCTGCTCTGGCCTCCCAGGACGATGGTGGGACAGTCCCTGGCCCAGCACAGGCCTCCTTAGGGTGGAGAGATGCAGGGGCTGAGGGAACCGAGTAAGCCAAAGACTCCTTCTCTCCCCCAGGAGCCCCACCCTGGTCAAGAACATGATCTCGGGCCTCAGCTACGGAGCACTTAATGCCAGCTACCAGGTGACTGGGCCCCAACCCCCTTGCTTTCCCTCCAACAGGGCCAGCCTCATAGAAGAGACCCTCCCCACCCTCCCCTGCAGAGGGTTGTGAGAGGAGGGAAGGATGGGGAGGGGGGCGAAGACTACTCCGGGTTTCCAAAACCATCCTGCAGTCCATCCTCCACCTCTGGTTTCCAGGCTGGGCTGGGGCAAGGGCCAGGCAGAGGGACGGAGGTTGGCATACCCCTGGCATCCTCTTTCCTGGCCTGTCAATCTGGGGTTTCTCTGTCCTTGGAAGAGGGGCTAAGCCAGGCGCAGGTCCCAGGAAAGCTGGGAGGCCGGAGGTCAGGGTCAGTGTTGCTGCCCCTGGAGGTGCACTGTGTGCAGAAGGCTGGGTCCGGGCCTGGGGGCTGCGAGACGGACGCACAGGAGGCTCTCTAGGGCTGGGGAGGGACAGCACTTGACTGGGGCCACCCCTGCGCCCCTCCAGGCCGCCCTGGCCGAGAGCAGCTTCCCCCTCCTCAACAGCCCTGGCGTGCTGAACCCCGGCTCTGCCAGCAGCCTCCTGCCCCTCAGCCATGACGACGCGGGCGCCCCCGTGGAGCCGCTGCCCAGCAACGGCAGCAGCAGCCCCCCTCGCCTCTCCCCACCCCAGTACAGGTGAGCCCCAGTACAGGTGAGCCGGGTCCCCCTCCTACACCCCTGCTGTGCCTCAGGGACCCCCTCCTGCTCCTTTTCCCTTCCCACCCTCTCCTCTCCTCTCCCCTCCCACCCCTCTTCTCAGTCTCTCCTTTTCTCCCCCTTCTTTTTATCTTTCCTCCTCCCCTCTGCTCCCTTTCCTCTTCCCCAGCCCAAGGCAGTCTCTGCCCCAACCTCGTCTTTCTCGGGAGAGAGAGCCCGGGGAGATCAGACCTGGGGCGTGTGATACTGGGAGAGGATGTGGACACCCCACTGTGCCCTAGATTCTGGGCGAGGGGCCCGGGGGAGGCCCCAGGTGCCCACGCCACGCCTGTGCCACAGCCACCAGGTGCAGGTGAAAGAGGAGCCCGCGGAGGCGGAGGAGGACCGGCAGCCCGCGCCCTCCCTGGGCCCCCCCAACCCCAGCACCATGGGGCCCCCAGAAGACAGGGACTTGGAAGAGGAGCTGCCCGGAGAAGAACTGTCCTAAGGGCATGGCATCAGGCGGGGCAGGGGTGAGACCCCGCCCTCCTGGGCCCAGCCCCACCTGTCCCACTCCACAGCCCCTCCCAAGCCTGAAGGCACTTCCAGGACTCAGACGGGGGAGCCCTGGGCCAGCAACTCCCCAGGTGACCCGAAACACTTGGGGGCAGGGACGGTCCTCACCCCCAGGGGACACACAGCCCCTGGTCTGGGACCAGTAAAGGACACATAAAGGACACGGAGGGCCCAGAGCCCTCCTCAGACCCTCCCCCACATCTGAATGCCGCCTCCCCCAACCACCAGCAGCATCAGGGCCCTCCTCCCCCACCAGCTCCCCCTACTGGGCCCCTCGGCGCCACGGAGACCCGCAGGCGGGGCTAAGTCACCCCTCTCAAACCCAGGGCCCCTCGCACCTGGCTCTGGCAGTGTTTTCTGGCCAGAGGCCCCCACTTCCCGAATTCGTGCTCCCTTCTGCCTTCTTTTCCGTACTGTGAAGAAATAACTCTCCACCCGCCTCCTACCCCGGCCTGGGTAGGGGAGCTGAAGTTTCAGGCCACCTGGCTCCAGCCCCTGCCCCCAACCTGAGACGGGGACCCAGGATGAACTGGGCCCTCACCCCCACCCATTTGCTGGGTGCCCCTCCAGCCACCCCCACGCCAGGGAGCACAGGAAGAGGCCTAGCGCCACCTTGTCCACAGAGGTCTGTGCCAGGTGGGCTTCTGCAGGGGGAGCCGAGCTGCCCCTGAGGCCGAAGGTGGCGCTGGACTGCCAGGAAGCACGGGACGGGCGAGGCTGGACCCCAGCTTCACGCCGCCCGCCTGCAGGTCCCCACCAGTCTTCTCCCACCCCCCTAAGCACCTCTTCCCTGTCCCCCAGTTAAACGGATGACCAAAGACCTTTCTTATGCCGGAAGCAAAAACCAAAACTTTTTGTTGGCTTTTTCCTTTGTCGCCTCCCCAGCATTGCTCTCCCAGCCCTGCACCCAGCCCCAGGCTGGAAGCCCTCCCTCCACTTAAGTTATTGTTTTAAACCAAAGTTTACAGTGTCTGTTGGTGGCCAAAACCCTCTCCCTCCACCCCTCCTCTGCCCCACCCCGAGGACCCTGGGGCTCAGTGGAGGTGGGGGCCCTGCTCCCTTCCCCTCTGCTCCCGGCCAGCCTGGGCAAGGGGACAGGGCTGAGGGCAGGAGGTGGCTCTCTCACAAAGCCCTTGACCCCAACCCTGGGCTGCTTCCTGGGGGGCCTCCAGACCCGTCTCTAGGACCAAGTCCCCCAATGCGCTGGGAGTGTGGATTCCAGCGAAAGAGCTGGAACAAGTGAGACTCTCCACAGACCCCCTATGGGGGACCCCAACTCGAGGCCAAGGACTGGGTGTGTCGGACGCTCATAACACCCCGCCTGGCCCCTTTGCTGAGAAGACTCCTTGGACATGTCCCAAGAACCCCACGTACCCCTCACAAGCCGCCCTCCTGAGAGGCAGGGGGCCCTCGGCCCCTCCCCATGTACTCCCTACCTGTGTTCCGTTTGACCAGCACAGAAATATTAAACGTCCTCTATTCACTGGGCCCGTGTGTGTCAGCGAGAGGACAGAGGGGAGCACCGAGGCCGAAAGACTGCTGGGGAGCCCAGGCGCGGTCCAGGGCAGTGGGGGCTGGGGGGGGGGGGTTCGGCGCGTGCACCAGGGGGCCGAACAAACCCGTGTGTGGGTTCGGGGCCCTCTTCCCGTTCCTGAGCGCCTCCTGTCCCGCCCCGCTAAACCAGGTCTCCCGGCCACTCTGCTTTCTCCCGAGGGCCCAGCCGTCGCCCCAGCTCTTTCACTGGTTTGAAGTCCAAGGCCCTGCCAGGGCAGTTCTGGCAAGGCCGGCCGTGGGCTCCAGGTCTGGGAGGACCCTGCCGCAGGGTTCCTCGCCTTGGCAGCCACCCTCAAGACGCCCACCCTGGGCCCATCATCCTTGGCTTTTTGGGGGCACCCTGTGTGGGCGCGTGCAGCTGTCCCTGTGTGGGGATGGCATCCTGGCACGGTGGGGATATTAGGGGGTGCACGCACACTCGGGCACACGTGCGGTGACGGGTACTGGCGGGCTAGGGCTTGGCAATGGGATTATTCAGATGGGGAAGGAAGGGAGGTGGGCCAAGCTGCTGAGCCGCACCTTGCCAGCCCACCCTGCCAGCCCACATGGGATCCGGCCCCCGCCCTGCTGCCCCTCCCTCTCTCAGGCCCCAGCCCCAAAATCACCTTCCAGACACTGCCTCCTCCTCGAGGGCGGGCAGGGGCTCCAGGCCTCAGTCCCTAGGGGCAGGGCCCAGCAGCTTGTGTATTAGGGTGCTGAGGGAGGGGAGGGTGTGGAGGAAACAGCACTGAAATAGATGATCCCACAAATCACGAAACTGCTGGAACTTTCCAGAAGCCAACTATGAGGGGAAGGTGGGCCGGAAAGGGGTAGGACCTGGAGAGTCTCCTCGCTGACTTCTCTGCTCTGAGGCCTTCTGGCCTTTTCTGCCATCACATTTCTGTGCGTCTCTCCCTCGTTCTCCCTGCTTTCTCTCTCACCCCCATCTGCTCTGCCTCCCTTCCCCACCCTGCCCTCCTCCTGTGGGCACCTGTGCAGAGCCTGGAGTGATTCCCTGTCCCCCATGGCACCTCGGGAGGGGGGGGCTCAGCTTGGGGTCTCAGAGTCCCCTGGCCGAGTGCTGTACAAAGGAGCACTGCTGGCCGGGCGTGGTGGCTCACGCCTGTACTCCTAGCACTCTGGGAGGCCGAGGCAGGCGGATTGCTCCAGTTGAAACCAGCCTGAGCAAGAGCGAGACCCGTCTCTACTATAAATAGAAAAAAATTAATTGGCCCAGGAGTTTGAGGTTGCTGTGAGCTAGGCTGACGCCACGGCACTCAATCTAGCGGGGGCAACAAAGCAAGACTCTGTCTCCAAAAAAAAAAAATGCACTGCTGAGTGTGTCATCCTCCCTCTGGGGGCTGCGGGGCCCTGCCCAGTACAACTAGCCGCTCTCCCTTCAACCTAAGAAACAATTACCCCTGATTGTGCTGCGGCCACTTCCCCTCCCAGCCGGGACCCACCAGCCCCCTAGAAAGTCCCAGAGAACCCAGAGGTGCTGGCTGTCTTGCTCCCAGCCACTCGCTTCGCCCCCTAGAAGAAGAGGGTCTGTTCTGCAGACGGGCTGCTGGTCGACGGGGCGTTCTCCTACCCCACATCTAAAGGGACAAGACCGTACCCAGCCTCACTCTCGGGACGGTCCTTGCAGCAGTCTAGCTTCAGTTTCTCAGGGGGCAGCACCCTCTCCCATTATTACCTTCTACAACCAACGCTCAGCAAGCCCTGCGTGTGGCACGAAGCTTCATTCTGCCGTCACTCATCTCTGGGCCCCGATGGGAATGGATCTTCAGAACCTGTTCTCAGGCTAGCGAAAAGAGAGAAGTGCTCCGAGCCGGACATTTTGAGGGGGGATAAGTAGCAGTCCGGGCTCTGTGCCCGGCAGAAGTCCCCCTTCCCCTCCAGCTCTAAGCTTTTCCCTCCCCACCAACTCCCGCCTCCGCCCAAGGCCTTTCGCCAGCGGCCAGCAGAGGGCGCGCCGGACAAGGCGGACCTGCTGCTCCTCTGGGCAAACCCGCCCGCCTGAGCCGGGTGCACCGCAGCTCCCTGGGCAAACTCCAGCCCCGGGCACAGCCAAGGGCTCAGTAAACATTTTTTAATAATAACAGTTATTAACAATGAGCTCTTATGTACTAGATGCTATTCTCAAAGTTTTATATTTCATTTACTCTTTATAACAACTCAGATATTATTACCCCCGTTTTACAGATGAGGAAACTGAGGCACAGAGGACGGAAGAGGTTAGCAGATAAAGCCCTGAGAACAAGGAAGCTGTGGTTTGCATGGGGAAAGGGAAGAGGGAGGCTCTGTGGCTCAGTCCGGCTTTCCAGCGGCATTATTGCTTTGGCTCCCCCCACACACACACTGCTGCTTTAGAGACTCCTGCTGGGGAAACTGAGGTAGAGTGCCTCCAAGCCAGGCACTGGGCACTGGCTTCAGAGTCCCGCAGCTTCTGTCCTTCTCTAGGCAGAAGGAGGTGGATTGGGGCTTGGAACAGTTGCTGAAGGACAGAGTGGACTGGAGAAAGAAGGCTGAAACAGCCTATAAAAACAATCGCGCCGCGCTCCTTCTGATGGAGCAGTGAGTCAGAGCAGTGGAGACAAAGAGGCCCTTGTCCAAGGCAGGGAATTAAAAGCGACCGCCCCTCTGCACTCACGCAGGCATATACCCTCACACGTACACACGCCACACGCGTGCTGCCAGCCGAGAGGTGTCGTCCATGCTCAGTCATCCTTAGGGGACTAGCCTGTGGACGCCCAGGGCAGGGACACATGCCCCACTGTGCTTACAGTGACATCCCAGCACACAGGCCCGGGACCCCTCCACTGGTCTGCAGGCTGCATCACTCGGGATCAGAAGTTTAGGAAAACAGCCCCTCCCAAGAAGGTGGTCGTGATGGCAGCCAAGGCTGAAAGGCCCTCTGTCCTGGCCAGGAGAGGCCAGGGTCTGGGCGTGGGGGGCCGGCCACCTTCAGAAGACAGGCTAGTGGACAAGGCCGTGCCACAGTGGGATGGGCACTAGCCCCGGCCCTCCCTCTGGGCCCCTCCTTCTCGGGGACCTGGAATGCAAGCTGTGTCTACACAGGCCGCTGCCTGGGACCAGGAGTGGGCCAGACGCAGGGGGTAGGGTCGGTCACCTGAGAAACACAGGAGGGGTCTCTGCTCTCAGAACGCTGCTTCTCTGGCAGGGAAGCAGATGGAGATAGTCAAGTGCCATGTGCTGTAAGTAAACTCAGGCACTGTGGGGCCAGCCCAGTAAGGGTTCGAGTCCCACCTCTGCTGCTCACTAGCTCTGTGGCCTTGGGAAACCTTCTTGACCTACCTGGGCCTCAGTCTCCTCATCTGTAGAATGGGGTAGGGTGATAATTTCTCTATCACTAGCTTGTTGAGAAGATTAATGATACAATAAATAAAAAGATGTCAGGTGCGTAATAAGCTATTAATAAAATGTAGTCTTGGATGCCAATCACCACAGAGTCAGGGGGACTGGAGTGCTTAGTAGAGACCAGCGTGTTCTGGAAGACACCCGGAAAAATCTGGAGCTGCAGAGGGGAAATTTGGGCAGGAAGAGGGGAGAGAAGAGAATGTTCTAGGCCCACAGAGGGGCTGAGGTAGAGCTTGGGGAAGGCTAATGTGCCAGAAAACAAAAGTGGAGGAGACAGAGGGGCTGCCAGAAACCGGCCCCCTCGTGGCGTGACCAACCCATAGCTGTGGGGCGAGTGACTCGTATCTGAGGAGTGGCCGTGGACCGAGCGCTCGGAGTAAGGGGAGCGTGGGATGGCTCGGTGGTGTGAGGCGGGCCCAACCTGCTGACACCAGAGAGTGGTGACGCTGGTGATGCCGGCGTCACTGGGGAGTTGACATCCAGCGGGGGACAGGCTTGTACTTAACCGCTCCGGTACCAGCGTCGACTACAGTCGACAGCCACAGACGAAGG